ATATATAAATCAATATAAGAATCAAAATAATATAATATTTTATTAAGATCTTAAAAGTCAAAATATTTGTAATTAAAATATTATTGATTAAAAAGATATTAAATATATTAAAATTTTTTTAAATATCTTGTAATTCAAAAATAATACTTAAAATATTAATGCTAAATAATAGAATAATATTATTAAATAAAGTTAGCTAAAATAATTAAAGTATAATTATTATTAATTATTAAAAATAAGTATTAGAAATACTATAGCATATAAAGTATAATATTTTTTTAAAATAAATTTTTTCAGAAGTATTCTAAATCATAACTTAAAAAATCTTAGATAAAAATATAAATAGAAAATAATAACTAGTTAACAATTTTAAGTTAAATAAAAGTAAAAAATAAATATATATCAAGATATTTAAAATAATTTAAGTTAAAATATAATATTTTATTTTTTTTATATATTTTTTAAATAAAATATATTATATATATATCTTATAGAAAAATTAAAATTTTTATTAAAAATTATAAATATTTAGATATTATATAAAAATAAAAAATAAATAATTCTTTTATATCAAAACTTATCTAACTATATATTATAATTATCAAAACTTATATTTTACAATTTTAGAGTTTAATAATTTTAATAAAAACTATATTTGCTTAATATATTTCTATAATTTACTATTAAGAGGATTGTTTTACAAATTAATTTTTATTATCTAAAAATTAATATAATTATTATATGTTTTTTTATCTTTATTTACTTGAATATTAATTCAGTTATAATTTATTTATTTTTTCTTATACATTTTTTCTTCATTATTATATTTCTTTAATCATTCTATATTATTTGATAAGTTATTCTTCATTATTTTCTATTAATAATTTCTATTATTATTTTTTATTATTATTTATTATTATTATTTATTATTGTTATTTTTCATTTTTATATTTTTCTTTTATCTTTATATTTTACTTTCATTTTCATATTCTTTATATTTTATCTTTATAATTTTTGTCTCTTATATTTATATTCTTTATCATTTACATTCATATTCTTTATTATTATTTTTTTTATAGTTCTTTATTATTCTATATTCATTTTCATTTCTTCTTCATATTATTTTTTTAAATAATTTTTCAAATATTTTTCAACTTCTTTATCCTATTAAATATTTCTTTATCTTTTTTTGTAAATTAATTTTATTTTTCAAATCTTCTTACTTTATTAATCAAAAGATTTATTTATCATTATATATAAACTAGTTAATAAAAAAATAAAAATCTAAATTTTGATGATATTTTTTTTATTAGTTTACTTGTCTGATCACATTCATATATTTTAGCTTAGAAATTAAAATTAATAAAAATTTTAAATTTCTTTCTTTTTTATTAATGAGTTTTTATATTTTTTTTTATTTTTTTTTAGATTTTATTTAATTATTTTTTTATTATTTAAAATTATTTAATCAAAATTTTTCAAAAACTTATATTTTTATTTTTTAATTTTTTGTTTAAAGGTTAAACATTTAATTAATTCATATATTTTCATTTTATATTTTTTTTTACAATTTTTTTCTATATTATCTTATTAAATTATTTAAATATTATTATTTATTAATAAATTGTAATATAAATAATTAAATTAATATATAAAATATAATATTAGATATATTTATATATAAAATTCTTTCATTTATTCTATTATATAATTTTTTTATTTTTTTTTATTTTATGATTTTAATAATTAATTTTTATATATATTATAATTATTTATATCTTAATATATATTTATGTTATTTATCATATGATTTATCTTATATTATATAATTTATATATAATTTTAATTAATTATTTATCAATTATAATCTTTCATTTAATTAGCTATTTTTTTAATATCTTAATATTATAATTAATTTATAAAGTTTTCTTTTATTAGTAAAATTACTTATTATAATATTTACAATTTCTTAACTTATAATGTCTAGATAATTTCATAATAGAAAAATTATAATTAAAGTTACATAAAAAAATAAGCATTCTAAAATAATCATATAATTAAAAAAATAATTTTTTGAGATATCAGATATCTCTATATAGTTGAAACTTGTATTTACTCATAAATTTTTAAATATGCAACTGAAAACTATTTATTAAAAAAAGTTAATAAAATTAATATAATTAATTTATACTTAATTATGCTAAACTATGATTAAATCATTTTTTGTAAACAAATAAAATATATTAATTTATATTAAAAATATTTTATTTGATATGATAATCATAGTAAATAAATATTTAATAATATATATTAGGTAAAAATTTTTAAATTTAATATTTAACAAAAATATAAAAATTCTGAAAATAAAAAATGATAATATATTCTAAATTAAACTAAAATGTAAGTAAAGTTTTTTAAAATATGCTATTATATCTTTTATTTAAAAAACTATAAAACAAACTGAATAACTATTTTTTAAAATATCATATATTTTCAATATTTAACATAATATTAAAAGATTATAGAGCATAAATAACAAAAAATTCACAAGAATGAATATAAAATAAATTAAATAATCAATATTACAAGGATTATAAGAATATACCTAAATTAAATCAAAACTGATAATATAGGATTATAAAAACATACTTAAAAATGCTTAAAAAAGTTAAGTTAGATTATAAAGTAGAGTAATAAATAAATAAATATATTATTATAATTTATAAATATAAATAACAGAAAAGATTTAAAAAAATAATTAGAATCCTAAAAAAGATAATCAAGCTTAAATAATAAGAATATAAGTAAGTTATAAAGATAGGTTATATCAATATGATTAAATCTAAATATTAAATTATAAAATAATAATTATTATAAAGTGATATTTGTATTATTACCTAATTTAAATAATATATTACTATTTAATCTAATAATTAAAAGTAGTATACTAATAAGTTTATACTATTTAATCAATTAATAAAATACTATAACTAATTAATTAAAATAGAAAAACAAATTTTATATTTATTATTTTTTAAAAAAGTATTTATTTTTCTATTTAATATATGAAATATTCTGATTTATTATAAAATTACCTTAAATAAGATAAATAATTTATTTAATAATTTTAAAAAAGTTAATATCTATTTTTGATATTTTTAATTGATTAAACTTTTGATCTATTTTAAATTATTCTAAATAAAATAAATATTTTTATATATTTTTTTAAAAAAAAATTTATTTATTTCTAAATATATTTTTGATCAATTAAAACTTAAAGGATTTCAATTTATATTATTATTTTTCTATAAACTTACTTTTAATAAATCTAATTTAAGTATTTTAAACTATTTATAAAGTTTTAATAATATTTTTAGTAAATATTATTAACTATCAAATTCAAATGCATTAAAATATACTAATTTTCATTTTATAAAAGAAAAAATAATATGATTCTTTTAATTTTTAAAAGAAGTTATTTAAACATAAAAAATTAATATTATTTCTAAAAAGAAAGAAGTCTTTCAAAAATATTAAAAAAAAACATTTATTTAAAATCAATAATATTTTTAAATAAAATTATATTAATTTAAAATTAAAAGTTTTAACAAAAAACATTTAAAATTATATATATTATTAAATTTTAAATATTTTAATATTATATATTTGTTAAAATATTTAATTAAAAATTAAATTTTAATTAACAATAAAAATTTATAATAAATTTATTAATATCAGATATATCTAAAAATTTATTACAAAAAATAAAATTATTATAAAAACTAAATTTGGATATAATTCTTATTACACCCAAACATAAGCAACCACAAAAATTAATATAGATCCGAAAAATAAACAACCCATAAATTTCTGTAATAAAAAATTAATTTTTTTATTATTTATATATTATAAAATTCATTTTTATATTATAAATATCTGTAATTTCATCATCCGATTTATCAAAAGTTGAAATCTTACAAGCTCAATAATCCAATCATATAATTTTTTTTCAAATTCTGTAAAAACATTTTCGACTCGTTTGCTATTTTTGTTTGGTTCATTTTATCCATTTTTCTTTTGACTTAAACCAGCGACTAACCATGACTTTATCAATTTCAAAAGAATTTGCCGCTAATTATTCCATTTTCTTTAACATAATGACAACTTGTCTTTTGCTCAATAGAATATTAATTGCGGCGCCATTTGACTATTTTTTTTTTTTTAACAGTACTTTAACTTATTTGCTCTTTTTGCGGCGGCATTTGTAAATTTTAAACAAGTTTATCATCAAGCCGCGCGTGATTATATTACATTCGTCATTTAAATGCGTAGTTTTCTTTCGTTTTCTTTTTTTTTATTTTAAAAAAAATTACTTGAAATTAAAAAACCCTATAGCAAAAAAGGTTGTCGAATTTCGAAACGGTACGGTATTTAAAGGTGTAATGATATTATATATAATTACATTACCATTGTTTTAATTAATATATGAAAAAATTATGAATTCTCCATAAGGCTTAAAAACTTAATGTGGAATTCTCCGATATGAATTATTTTTATTAATTTGGCGTTTTGCATGTGCATGCATTTTATCAACCAGTTTAACCAGTTTATTAGCCGGTTAATCTTAGTCTTAAAAGGTCAGTTAAGAATTTTTTTTGGTTAAATTTCAATAAAAAAAAAATGACTGGATTGTCAGGGTTCTTTTTATTTACTTTTGCGTCATAAAGAGTTGCATGAATGTTTTTGTCTAATCTTATATCATGTGTCAAATATTCAATTACAAAAGATAATATAGAACCTTTTAACGAATTATTAATTATAAAATTCTGGTGCAAACACAGATGCATTTAACAAATAGAAATGTGAAAATTATTATTAGCTCCAATTTTTTTTTTTTTTATTATATAAATATATATATTATTAATAAATTAATTTTTTTTTTCTTGCAAATTCAATAAAACTATTTTTGTTTACTAAAATTATTTCATCGCCATGTTTTATTATTCTCCGTCAGCTCCTATCTCTTCTTTTACTACAAGTAAAGTCCTTACTTCTTCCATTGATTTTTTTGCAGCATCAGAGGCTGTAATACCCTTATCTTTTACAAGAAGATTTTCGTCGGCGTTGATCCAATCATCAACGCGTGGAGGTTCATGAGATAAAATGGTTTTTAATTCTCGTTTAAGAATGCTAAAAATAATAAAATAAAATAAAATAAATATAAATATTTATAAAAGAAGATAAGAGAAGAGAAAAAACATACCCGCAAAAATCGTCCAATTTCAAGTCATTATCGTCATATCCAAAAGGATTTTCAATTTCTGTACCAATGCGTTCTAATCCAAACAAAATATAAGAGGAGAAGAATACAACGGCAATGGTGGACCAATGAACGGAAGCAACTAACTGAAAAGGTAAAGTAAGGCAATAAACCCAAACAGTTTGAGAAAGATGGATGGAATAAGCCAAGGGAATAGGACTTCTAAGAATTCTTTCAAAGTGTGATAAACAATCACATAAACCATTAAGGGACGTGTACAACTGATTGTTGAGGGGATTTTCAATTCTCTTTGTATCTAACTGAGTTTTAATATAAGAAGAAAGGTAAAGAGTAATTTCCAAAGGAAGGTTACATTCCAAAGAACTAGGATTAAATTTTCTTTGATGAGGCTTAAGTTTACTTTGAAAGATTTTAGTAAACCATCCAATTTTACGTGCATTAGAGGTATTAGCATCTTTAGCCGCTAAAGGTTTAAATGATTTTAAAGTTCCTCCAATATTTGAAATTAAATATTCTAGATCTGCATGATTAGTTCCAGTTTCCTCTCTAAGAAAATGTTTAACTGCCACTGCAAATCCGAGTAATAAATTTATTGCGGTTGCCTTTTCCAAAATTATTTCTGGTTGTGATTTTCCAACTTTGGAAGATACTTTTCCTCCCTCGATAATTATTTTATCTTCTCTTACTCCTACCCAAATATTTCGTGTCAAATTACGAATATGCACCACCATCGTGGACCAAAGTTTTCGTCCTTCCCAAAATCTAAGAAAATATAAATTCACGTGTTAAAGAAGAACGATGATTACTGCGTTCATAATGAAGAAATATTTTTACCTGTCATAAGCTGTGTTTGTTCTATAAGAGAGCAAAAGACCAACCACAATACCAATGATGGGGGTAAATGTGTTGGGTATACTTAATTTAATTTCATATACTTCAAAGAGAATTGTGATAATAGCGGCAAATATGGTTACCATTATAGTTGGTATAATGACACTTGGTAAAACCGAACCCTTCAACCTTAGAACATTCGGTCGATGACGTACATTCGGACGATATTCTTTAGGCTCTTCCACCCTATTCATGGCTTTTTCTGCATCCGTCAATTTTTTGTTTTTGCCTTTTATGGTTCCATTAGGATTGTTTAACGTTATTAATTCATTCATAGACTTCTGGACTATTTCCGGCGCATTCATATCCGTCATTTTGTCAAAAAGTCTTTAATGGTTATCTTAAATTTTATGAATTGGAACTTTTTTTTTTTAACAAATGATAAACCTATAATACCAAAAATTTTTAAAAATTTTTTGAGTGAAAAGTTTCTCTCTTTAAATACTTTGTAATAATATGTACAACGCAACGAAAATAACTCCGACATATATTTATTGTATTTAATGGCTAATGTATGGTAATCCATATTTGTGAAACAGGGTTTTCAGCCAAGGCACATGAATAATGGAAGACAAGTAAATAATTTCGAAACTCAAATTTTTTTTTTAAATTTCAATAACTACAATTGAAATCGGTTTAGATTGTTCAACAAATTTATAAAAATAATAAAAATTTGAAAATCAAATTTTTTTGATAAACACTCAAAGAATGATGGACCTGTTTGATTTTTTGGTGATCACATTAAGGATGATGGACCTTTTTTGATTTTCAGGAGTAAATTTTAACGATTGCTAATATTAATTTATGATTTTTATTAAAATCGAAATGGGTTATTTACCAAAATGCAGAAAATGTTCATACCTATAATCCTAGTGTGGAATAAAAAGAAAAAAGAGCATGTTGGATGGATGTTTTTAATCGACATCGATGCTTTGAATTCAGTGAATTTGTGCGAATTTCCTAAATAGGTTGAAGATCAGGACATCAATTTAATATTAAACATGGCGAACAAAAACTGGAAATAATATTATCTCAACATTACCAATTTAAAAAAAAAATAGTTCATCCTCAGATAACAGTCGGCAAGAAAAACCACAAGAACCAACCTTGTGCCTAATAAAACTAGTTGAATATGGAAGATTTATTAAAACTGATGGACGTGAGTAATAAATTAATAATATTAATAATTGATTGATCAATTTACTATAAATTATTTATTACAACTGTAAAAAATGTAAAAATGTCGAATTTTATATCAGATCATGCTATAATTAACAATCATATATGTACCTTTTTTTTCAAAATTAAATAGTTTTATTTTTTATTTTGTATTAATAATACTATTAAATATGATTTATTCTACAGCATTCAAGTAGAGGATTTTTTGGAAGAAAAAGTAAGATATCAAATAAATTTACGAGAAACTTAATTAGCAAGGGATCTACTTCATAGAAAATGGTTTTAATAAATAAATTTATATTAATGCTGCGCCGCATTAATCAAAGACGAATTTTTTTAATTACACATTTTTTGTTGATTTGGCGCTTATCTATTTAAGGGTAGAGTCAATGTCGATCATTTATTAGTAAACGCCTCCTTAAAGTGTAACGTGATAGTTGCTTACCAAAAAGATTTTAAACAAATGCTAATTTCTTTCTAAAAACCTTTCTTTTTTATATATTGTAAGAAAAGTTTATATTATTTAGTAGTTTATGTCTAAAATTATTAAAATAAAAGGTTTTTGAATGAATGGAATTCTTTCAAATAAAAGAAAATATATAATAATAATATGAAGAAACGTATAACTGCTTTAAATATATTATTTTATTATAAGCATATAGGTAAAATTTAATTTTTTACAATAATCACATTTGCTTATATTTAATAATAATATGCAATTAATAGATAATGCCTCTTAATTGGTATAACACTAATTGCTTAAGATTCAAGTAAAGACATTCTATTAAACGCAAAATGAAACTTAAACTATTCTACTAGTTAATGATTTATACAATAAAGTAAAAGCATTTGATTTTACTATAAAAAATGATTCTATTTTTAAAGAATAAAATAGTAATGTTAAATATATCTTTATTTGTAATAAAAAATAAAGCATTCGTTAATACCATTATTACCTGAATATATAGTTTTCATTATTATAAGTAATAAACATTTTAAATTATTAATTTTGAAAAAAAATCAGTCAATTGCTTTTCCTTTGAAAATTGTTAGTTTTAATTCATTATTTATATATTGAAAAAAAGGTATAAGATATTGAGTAACTTGCATTTCATTATATATTAAAAAAATATAGTTTTAATTTAAATACTTATCTTTGATTAATTATTGATCTTTATGGATCTCAAATAATTGTAACCTATTCACAAAAAGTTATTTTTATAAAATTAAACTATTTTTAATAAGAAACTTTAGAAAATTTGCATCAAACTAATGCAAAAAAAAGGATTATATCATAATTTAAAATAAAAATAAGATAAAATTAATACTGTATTATATAAAAATAATAGTAATAGAAATAATCAAAATATTATTTTTAGAATTCATATTGAATCTGACAAAAAAATATTATTTTCTCAAAAATACAAGCTCTAATATTAAAAAAATATAGAATATAAGCAAACAATTTATTCTCAAAATAAAATGATCATTTAATTCTTTTAATTCATTTTTATAATTAAATTATTTTATTTATTTATATTATTTTATTTATTATATTTATTATATTATTTTCTTTATTTTATTTAATTTATTATTATTATTATATATTTTTATATAAATACAAGTAGTTTATTAATATAATTGAATGCAAAAAGAACTTGTATTATAATAAATTTTGATAAATAAATTGCTTAGAATAAATATATTAATAGAAATAATACTATTCTTTTATTTAATTAATTAATTGATTATATATACTTTTCTTAATTTTATCCTATTTTTATTTTATTTTTTATCTCTTTTATTTTATCTTACTATTGTAAGTAAAGAAAATCTTCTATTCAACAGATATCCAAATAATTATTAGCAATTAAAAGAACTAGTATAATAATATGTAATTAATTTTTTATTATTTGTTTATTATTATTATTATTGATTTTAAGATTTATAATTTAATAATTAATAATTATATTGCTAAAATACTATATGATATTAATAAATTAGCAAATTATATTCAGATATAATGACATTTTATTATCTATTAATATTTAATAATTTAAGTAATCTTTATTTTTCAAAACAGATAAATTATTTAATTTAAAAAAAATCATTATTTTAATAAACTTTATTTTATTTATGCTTGTTTTTATTTTATTATTATCCTTTTAATTATTTTATTTACAAATTTGCAGATAAATTTTTTTATTAATTATAATTATTTTTAAATATTTTAAAATATATTATTAAAATAATTATACTTTTATAATATATTCTATGATATTGTTACGCCAATTCTTTTAGATTGTGAGTAAATCACCTACAATATCACAGTTTAGCAGAAGGTTTCCTTCACACTGAAGAGTAAGAATAAAGATACAAGACAAGGATTTAAAGAGAATTACAATAAACTGGATGAAATACGTGCAAATAATTATTTAACAAATAAAAGACTGGTACTGCCTCTGTCGGCGCGTCTGTACTAAACAGTTTATTTATCAAAAGAATTATTTAAGACAAGATGGTTCTCTTCTTTTTTACATCGATAAATCATTCCTATTTATATAAAAATACTTACTAATAACGATAAAATAAATAAAATAAAGAAAATAGATAAAATATATAAAATAAATATAATAGATAAATAACATAAATGAAGTAAATAAAATAAATAAGAAAATGAAATAAATGTAATAAATATCATTAATATCGTATGACATAATAAGACCTATTTTTATATCAAAATTAGACTACCAAATTTAGGAAATAAGACATGTAAATCATTTAATTATCTAATTTAGTTA